TCCTCTGCAGTTAACAGAAAGCCAATTACTGTTTACATGATTACACCAATACCATAATGTAATTTCCTTCAAATTGAGTGGGTTTTTTATTTTAGACCTTCAATTTTTTATTTATTCTTTAACTTTCCATACAATGTATTTTGAACATGTGCCCCTCCCATCTTCCGGTTCTTCCCAGATCCATGCCCTTTCCCTACCCATCCAACTTTACCATTTTTAAAGCATCAAGACTAGACAAGTTTATGCTGTCCAAATATTATTGTGTGTAGGGTCATTCACCTGAGTGTGGTCAACTTACCAGGGAATATGCTCTTAGAGAAGACACACTCTTTTCCCTCAACTCTTCTTTCCCCCATAAGCTATCAAGGGAAAATAGCACAAAGGCTAAGCATTGCCCATCTCTCGTTTTCATTCTGGGCTTTGGTCTGGCTTGGGCTCTCACACTTCTTGTGCTACTCTGAGTTCACATGTGTAGCTGCCCTTCTGTATTTAAATGACATTTTCCTTCTAGTCATCCTTTGCCTCTGGCTCTCGCTCTTTTCTCCACCTCTTCCTCAATGACTCTGAACTTAGGAGGAGCGGGGACAGGGTATATGCTCCTTTTAGAGTTGAGCATTCTATGAGCATTCTATGAGCACTCTAGGATTCTCTGCACCCATCCCAAATCTGGATTTCTGTGTTAATCTCTATTTACTGCAAACAGAGGCTTCTAGGATATGGGTTAGAAGGTACATTTATCTATGGATAGAACAGTAAATCATTAGGACTTGGCTTAATACTATGTTTATTGAACAGCATAATAGTAATAGATTCTCCCTAGTGCCTATGACCTATTTAGCCATATGATAATGGTGTCAGGTATGAATTTCATCTTATAGAGCAAAACTTAAGTCCAATCAGACAGTGGTTGTTTACTTTCTCTAATGTTAATGGCACTGTTGTATCAATGGACATGCCTTGTCAGTCATTACTGTAGATAGCAAGGTAAATTTCCCCCTTTGGAGTTTGCATAGTCCCTTCCAGCACTGTGAAAGCTATCCAGTAGGAATTAAGCTTACAGGTACTACAAGCCTGATTATTACATGTCCTAGGACTCAAGTATGTGGTATCAATAGTTAGGATACCAAGAGAAATGGTAATAATCAATATTGTTTGGGGATCTATGAGACCTTGTAAGAACAACTCCAGAAGAAGTAACCCATTCCTGACACTGGGTTTTTTATTTGTTAGCCTTTGGTACTGTTGTCCCATTATATGGTGACTCCATTTTAAAATCCTCTCCCTCTCCCTCTCCCTCTCCCTTTCCCTCTCCCTTGCTCTCTTTATGTGTGTGTAAGCTTCTACATTAGTGGGTTTCCATGTGATGTTTATGAAAAATAAACCTTCCAATACTTGAAGTATTGTCAACTAGAGAATGTTATTAATGTTAATAAGAGAGGGAAGCATGACTGTTCACATTTTAATGTTGTAACTATTTGACATCAGTCTTCTATATTTCCCACATCTTAGATGCACATTCCCAAATATATAGACTGGATGCATGTGTTAAAGAGACCTACATATGATTATTTAAACATTGTTTTTCTGTCTTCTGTCTATTCTAAATCATTTTTCTTGTCATCTGTACTCTCTTCATTCACTTTATAAAAGCTATTTTTTATTTATAAAGGAGAGAGAAAACACAGGATCTCATACATGACAGTCAAGCATTGTGCCACAGAGGTAAATTACCTACACTGTACAATAACTTTTAACAGTCAGTAAGACTTGATCGCCTCAATGATGGCAGTCACACTTACCAAGATTATCAGGTTAAGTAAGTGTATGGATCAAAATTCTCATGCTTCACTCCTTCCTCTACCACATTTCAGTAGTTCATATTTACTTGCACATAAGGTGAAAATAAAGTTCAGTGTTAGCACCTGAGCACATTTCTTACTAACAACCTGTAGGCAACTTCTCTCATAATTTCCTGAATCCTGGAGCCTAATATAGATGCCCTCCATGCTTTCCCTCCAATAGTCTTCTTTTTAATAACTATAAATAAATATTTACCAATATCTACACTTTCACAGTATTTAGAAGGGCAATTAGTCCTTTTTATCATCAGTGCAATATGAGAAGTCTACTTTGTTTCATAAAATAGATATTATGTATGAAATAATTTGTTTGCTCTCATTTCTCTGCAGGAAGAAACAAAAGCTTTAGTATAATAATACTCAGGCTGTGTTGTACGGTGCTATGGGGCCCTTCTTAGGAGAAAATGGGTCAAGAGAAGCACCAAGAGAAAAGAAAGAGATATGAAGGGCAACAAGAAGCTGCTTGAAGCCCAGTCCAGCCAGCACACCTTAGCCTCTCTTCTGGTCCAACCAGCACACCTTAGCCTCTCTTCCAGTCCAACCAGCACACCTTAGCCTCTCTTCCAGTCCAGCCAGCACACCTTAGCCTCTCTTCCAGTCCAACCAGCACACCTTAGCCTCTCTTCCAGTCTTTACTTTGAAATAATTCCCTACAGAAAGGCGTGGAGCACAGCACAGTGAATGTACGACCCACATTGCTTTGCCATCCCTTCCTGCCTTCCACCCTGCTCACTCCTGTCCTTTCACTTATGCGGATTTTGAGAGTTGAGTTTGTAGATAGCATGCTTCATTATCTATAAATACATTAGTATACATTTCTCCAGAGGAAAAAGCAGTCATTACATCATTGAAGTAAAAAAAAAACCTAACACACATGTTCCTACATTAGGGGTTAGGGGCCGGGCAACCACTGTGTCACCCCTCCCCCCACTCCTAAGAGCTGACTTTCCCAGCCTTGAAAGCACAGAGAGACCCTCTTCACTGATGACAATGAGAGAACGATGCTTCCCCAGCTTCCTAAACATGATGCAGCTTCACTCCCAAGCAAACTTCTCAGAAACAATGGGTATTATTTCTAACCGTTTAAGTCAGACACAAGTCACTAACCCTTGGATTATCCTGTGGTGGAACGACAAACTTCCTAAAGCACACAGAGTCCTTCTGGTCCTGGAAGCAAAGCAGACTTTACCCACACTGGTGCTTTGCACTTTCCTGTTCTAATCCATTCCATGGAGCACACACACTCAGCAACAGTGCTACAGAAATCAGCCCAACATTCAAAACTGTTTGCTCCTAAATAAAAACACCCAGCAAATAAGAAGCATAATCATTTGTCTGCTTGTATGGAACACACTTAGGCTCTTAATTAGAATACTCACCATTTGCTTTTCTCAATTAAGTTTTCTTAAAGAACAAATGGCCAGAAAGCCCTCAACAATCACAGATAACAATCAACATCAAAGAGGTTGCCACAGGCTTTACAGGTAATCAAGTGCTTAACACATTCAGCACAGAAACTCACTTTCCCAAGTGAGACATTCCGTAATACATAATCCAATGTGGCTGCATTTCATCAATGGGTTCCAAAGGTCTTCACATCAAAATACATAGCAAATTCTCAGACTTATAGTTTGCTGAAAACAAACTCAGTATGTTTTTGCTATGGATTTGATAAGGTCTTAAGTTTCTTAGTCTATTTAACTCGTCGTTTTCTAAAACCTCTAGCATTCTTCAGACCTTCAGTAGTATACAATTTCCAATAGCCATCCATGTTGAGCACTCACAGGGTAGATGACTTTTGCCCTGAATGTCTGCTTTTCATTATTTGGTTTGGGGGATTGGGTTTTTTGTTTTGTTTTTTTTAGATTTTTTTGAGATGCTTCCACACTGCAGATCCAAAGTGTTTGTCAGCATACTGAATACTAAATGCTCACAAGACACAATAATGAGGTCTCACTATGTAAGAACTGAACAACAAATGCTGGGGAGGACTGCAGAGGAAGGGAACACTTGCTGCTGGGAAAAAGGCTCAATCAGGAAAGGGACTGTCACTTTGTAAGCACCATGCTTGAGTATGGGACCCCAGCTTCCAACATAAAAGCCTGGCAACCCCAGCACTAGGAGGACTCAAGACAGGGAGGTCCCTGAAGCTCATTGGTCAGACAGCCTAACAAAATCAAGGAAGTGGCAGGGAAACGATGAAACAAGACTCAAGGGCAAAAGGCTGGGATCAGGTGGGCCATATGCTCTGCTGGAGACACACCAACAGACCCTAAATCTCTCTTTGTGTATCACACATAGCATGAAGGAGGAAAGAGCTGCTTAGCTAATCTAGGTAGGAGGTCTCTGGAGAGAAGCAGTTTCAGGTTGCACACATCCAGGAGCATACACTGGTTTTAGCAAAGGATAAACCATTTATAAGCATCTCTGCTCTGATACGAGAAAGACTATGTCATTGCTCTGAGCCTGACCCGGAGCAACCTTTGCCTTGATAATGGCCTGCTGTTTTCAACAATATACATTCACTCAGGTCTTCATCTGTCCCCATGCTCTAGGTTCAGTAAGGGACTCTGATTAAAAAAACAAAACAGAAAAGGATTGGGGAAGACCCCTATGTGAACCACACACACACATACCTACGCATTCACACACACACACACACACACTCACACATTCACTCACACACACTCATACACATGCACACCACACACACTCATGAATACTTGCACACACACACAGACTCACACATACACTCATGCACACACACAGGGGTTGGAGGGATTCATATAATATTGGTGGGGATGTAAATTAGAGAAGCCAATATGTAAATCAGTATCAAGGTCCTCAAAAATCTAAAAGTAGAATAACCATTATAACCATTTGATTCAGCTATACCATTCTATGGTATACGCATGATGGATATTCAGCATTCCACTAAGATATCTGTTACACTGTGTTTGTTGTGGTACTATTTACAAGAGATGCACCAAGGGATCAGTCTAGATCAATAGATAAATCAGTAAATGAAATGCATCTACACACAATGGAATTTTATTCAACCATAAATAAGAATAAACTTATGATATTTATAGGAAAGTGGATAGGACTAGATATCATCATGTTGAATGAAATAAGCCAGACTCAGAAAGACAAATATTTTTTAATAAGTGGAATCTATATTTTTAAATAAAAACTATAAAGTAGAAATAGAAAGAGAAAAAGGACCAATAATAGGGAGTAGAATGAATAAATGGAGGTCATTGAGGGGAGACAAAGTACATGATATACATGTATTATAATGTCCTGAAAACTATTATTTTGTACAATGAATATATACAAATTAAATGGTAAAATGTAACAATTCTTCTAACACATAATGTTTTCCTTAAAGATAAAATATGCACATTGGACTAATATATTTTCACAGTATTAGTGTGAAATTGGGGCACCTAATCTGCTTAACAAAATTCTAGACTGTCTTACCAATAATAGATCCCATAGATCAGTTCACTCCCCAAGGTTTTTCCTATAGATACAACAATATATATATCTGTTTTTAAGTAAAACACACTCATGGAGGGGTATTAAATAAATATTATAGTTTTGGGTTTTTTTCATTGTAGTGTTAGTTGCCACATTAGATTGCTTTTGAAATTTAATTTAATTGAAATTTTGTGTGTCTTTTAACACACGAAACAAACATATTCCACAGTTATAATGAAATAAAATTTGCTGTTCTTGAAGTCTAGACAAGTCCATGAATTGAATATTGGCATGAATATTATGAAAGTAGCTGATTGATTGTCTTCTGATAGTATTTATGGCCAGCCCCACCAGAAAATAATACTTGCTTGGTACTGTCAATCTGACTCTTTAGTCATGGTTAAGGGAGACCACAGGCTCCAGGAGTGAACTAACTAATGTTATTCCACTAAATGGACACAGTATCAAACTAATCTCTAAATTTGCATCTCCTTACCCATAGATTAATGCAGCTCTCAGGCTTCATAAAAGACGTTTCTTTGTGCAGTGAATGGTGATTAACACAGAAACTCACAACAGGTCAAGGTATGGAGAATAGGTATCAGTGCTCAGCCACAAGCCTGACGCCTATACCTCAATTCTGCCTCAAGTCTCCAGCACCATTACAGAAGAGGAAGCAGAAGGAATGTAAGGAAACTGGAAACCAGGAAGTGGAAGTGAATCCAGGGGAGGAGAGGAGTGTGATCGTATCTGATCAAAATACACTGTAGGAAATTCTCGGTTGATAAAATACCTTACAAACTTAGATTGTGTAAGATGAAATATGTTATAATGTTTAGTCTTGCAAGACCCAAAACACACTTAGATTCCACAGGTATAATGAAATATAATTTGCTCTTCTTGGAGTCTAGATTTGCTCTGTTCAATATGGTACTCAGTAGACACAAATGACTATTGAGTGCTTATAATGTGTCTGACCCAAATTAGAGCTTCTCACAAGAATGTGATACATACTATATTTCAAAGTTTAAAATAAAAAAACCCACAAAAGTATTTATGCCGAATGTGTGTTAAAAAGAATGATTTTACATATTGGGCTAAATAAAGATATATTATTAAATTTTATTTTACCTGTTTCTCTTTACTTTTTTAAAACATGAATTCCAGAATGTTTATATATATATGGCTCACGTGTGTCCCTTGTATTTTATTCCTATTGGAAACCAACACAGACAGAAGTCACAGTTGTAAGACCAGTTACTAGTATGTTGTACATATCATCTCACCACACTCTTTTCTATTTCTTGTTTTTGGAACACTAGCAGATTATTAGATCTCATGAGAATTGAAGAGGAAACCTAGACAGATTCAGTCTGTAATTAATCAAGTATTGACTCTCACGTACTAATATTGCCTTAACTATCTCAAAAATGTCATGGCATCATTTAACATAGCCAAAGTTAATAGATTTTGCTTTTACCTAACTTCTATATTCATGCTGAATACAAAATGTAGTGTCCACAGAAAATATTTATTTGGATATTATTGGAAACCAATGCATTGTGCACGGTGTTGCTGTGGGAAGGATACATTTATTACAGAATAGGACTCAGAGACTAGGTCACCCTCCAGAATAAGGTTGCATAAATTTGCTAGTAACCTCTAAGAAAATCAGAAGTACACAGATTGTGAGTACATCATCTAAATGTGCCTCACTCTGCATCACAGGTCTTTGGGAACCAATAAAAACACAAAGACCATGAAGCCTACTTTGCTTTGAGTGATAAACTACATGAACTCAGGATTTCTTACCACATGAACCTACAAAAGTGTGGTGAGCCAGTCAATCAACTGCCTGTTCTAATGAACTGACTGGCAATTCCCCTTTTGTAGTCCCAACCCTCATACCTCAAGCAAGCACCACTACATATCTCTTCGCCCTGGTCTCACCTATCTGTCATCGTTAATTCCTGCTCCTCATGTAGCAAACCAGTCATAAAGTCCCAAATCTTCTGTCCCATGAATATCTCTACTTAGCTCTGTTGCTAATATCTACCCTAGTTATTTTCGTCTCTCACCTATGTGCCTAATTTGAGTCAATGTCTCCAGCATTACTCTGTTCACTCCATTCTTCATATTGCAGCTAGAATTGTCTCATTCATCATCTATTTGCTGTCAGGATGAAGTCCAAACTTCTTAAGATGATAAAGCCTTTCAAGGTGAGGACTTACAAAGAATTTTCCCTGAAATTCCATTTGTGATTAGTTGATCTAGAAGAGAAAAGGGAAAAAGTAGATAAGAGATTAGCTTTGATACTAACATATAAGACTGAAGCAAAGGATAAGTTGGGTACCGGGACACACAAAGAGCACTCTTAGAGAGCCAGTCCAACTGGAGCTGCTATAGTTCCTTTCTTCATCATGAATAGGAAAAGTTTATGATAGCTGTGAAGTGATTGATTAGATTGGTTATTGTGGCCATTTTTATAGATCAAATAACATTTTCTCTACGTAAATACATACAATTTATACTTATATGTAAATAAAGCATGGGAAGTGAGGACATTTGATCCCAACTTCAGACCATGAATTATTTTATTAGAATTGGTAGCCAAAAGTATGCAAATAATGACTGTGATGGGCATTGTTTGATTTGCATTTCCCTGATGGCTAAGGATGTTGAGCACTTTCTTAAGTGTCTTTTAGCCATTTTAGATTCCTCTATTGAGATTTCTCTATTTAGTTCTGTACCCCACTTTTTAATTGGATCCTTTGGTGTTTTGGAGACTTGATTCTTGAGTTCTTTGTATGTTTTGGAGATCAACCCTCTGTCAGATGTGGGGTTAGTGAATATTTTTTCCCATTCTGTGGGTTGCCTTTTCATCTTGCTGACTGTGTCCTTACAGAAGCTTCTCAGTTTCAGGAGGTCCCATTTATTAATTGTTAATCTCAGTGTCTGTGCTACTACAGTTATGTTCAGGAAGAGGTCTCCTGTATCAATTTATTCAAGGGTCCCTCCCACTTTCTCTTCTAAGAGGTTCAGTGTAGCTGGATTTATGTTGAGGTCTTTGATCCATTTGGACTGAAGTTTTGTACATGGCGATAGATATGGATCTATCTGCAATCTTCTACGTGTCAAAACACCAATGACAGTCTATGCTGGAGAGGATGTGGAGAAAGAGAAACACTCCTTTACTGCTGGTGGGAGTGCAAACTTGTACAGCCACTTTGGAAATCAATATGGATATTTCTCAGGAAAATGGGAATCAATCTACCTCAAGATCCAGCAATTCCACTCTTGGGCATATATCCAAATAATACACATTCATACAGCAAGGACATATGCTCAGCTATGTTCATAGCAGCGTTGTTTGTAATAGCCGGAACCTGGAAGCAACCTAGATGCCCCTCAACCAAAGAATGGATAGAGAAAATGTGGAACATTTACACAATGGAGAATTACTCAGCAGGAAAAAAAATGAAATCTTGAAATTCACAGACAAATCGATGGAACTGGAAGAAAACATCCTGAGTAAGGTAACCCAGTTACAGAAAGACAAGCATGGTATGTACTCACACTCATATATGTATATTAGACATAGAGCAAAGGACTACCAGTCTACAATCTGCACCATCAGAGAAACTGGGAAACAAGGATGATCCCAAGAGAAAAACATGGTCCCCCAAAGAAGGGGGACAAGAACCCCTGAGCAAACTGGGAGGATTGGGGCAGGGAGGGGAGAGAGATAAGGGAGGTAGGAAAAAAGAAGGGAGAAAGAGATGGGGGAAGAGAACAGAAGGGAACAGGAAGACTGAGACAGAGGAGGAATAGAGGAGAGCAAGAAAGGAGATACCTTGACAGAAGGAGCCAGTATAGGTTTAGAGAGAGGTCTGGCACTAGGGAAATGTTCAAGGATCTACAAGGATGACCCCAACTAAGAATCTAGGCAGTAGTGGAGAGGCTGCCTTTGATGCTTTCCCTATAATGAGATTGATCACTACTTTGGTTGCCACTCCTAGAGCCTTCATCCAGTAGCTGATGGAAGCAGAAGCAGATACCCACAGCTAAACACTGGACCATACTCCTGGAATCCAGTTGTAGAGAGGAAGGAGAGATGAGCAAATGAGTCAAGACCATGCTGGAGAAACCCACAAAAACAGTGTCCTGACCTGGTGAGAGCACAGAGACCCTAGTAGTAAAACTGGAGAGCCAGCATTGAACAGAACCAAGCCCTGAATGTGGCTTAGGCAGTCTATGGGACTTCTAACAGTGGAGCGAGTGTTTATCCTCAGCACACAAAGGAACTTGGGAGCTCATTCTCTATGGAGGTATACTATTGCAGCCCAGATACATGAAAAAGGGTCTAGGCCCTCCCCCAAATGATGTGATAGACTCTGATGATCCCCTGTGAAAAACCTCACTATCCTTGGGGAGTGGGTAGGGGGTGGGTTGGGGAGGGCATGGGAGGATGGGAGGGTGAGGGAATGGAGGTGAGGGAATCTTATGTAAAATAAGATTGTTTCTAAAATAAAATTTAAAAATACATTAGGAAATTCTCAAAGAATTAATGAAAATATTTTAAGACATGAGTTATACATTAAATTATATTCTGTCTTTGGAGGTATCATAACACAAAACATACTAATCATTCCCATACAATAAGTCAGTCTGTATTCACAAGTGTAACCTTTTCTCTTAGGTAATATTCCAAATATTTCTTGCAGTATTAAAGGCTACACATATCTGCTATGTGATCATCTAAGTTTCTTTTTTATTGAAAACTCCTACTTGGAAAAACATACTTCAATACTGCAAAACACCAATACTAAACCATTCACCAACCATATGTTCCAAATGTTCATCTTTCAAAATTTTTATCAAATTTGATATTTCTTCTTTTGTAAACTTTAGAGATAATAGTAGAACAATGCAATTAAAAACTAATCAAGTATAGAAAATTTGCTATTACTCTTATTACTTTATTAAAATTATCATAAACCTCAATATTAACAAAAGCAAACCTAAGCAATTTTACAGAACTCTGTTTTCTGCTCTGCTGGTTTGAATACAGCAGAGTAAACACAAGTTAAGAAACTATTTCCAGAGACCTGCTGAAATCACTGATTATGGTTTTAAACAAGTCAACATCTTATATGTGTCCTAATACCAAATATCAGAGAATTAAAATTAGAAATATCCAGTAGAAACAAATGTTTTAATGACACGTACCCATATGTGTTTGTCACCAAAATAAATAAGAAACAAATCTGAATATCCATAATTATAGAAGATCAGTGTTCCAATTTCAGGAAATTCTAATAGGATAGTAAGAAGGACAGTGGGTAAATGTCAATGACTTCAAAGAGGCTATTCTGTAGCATATTAAGGTTCATTAGAACCTTCAACATGAAAACGTTCATTTTCGCTTTTCTGGGACTTTAATTTAGATGGATGACTTCTTCATGACAATCATACACATGCTGAATTTTTTTTAATATTTAAGTTTAGTAAAATCTAAAACACATCTGGTCAAAGCTTATTTTAAGCCATTTCTAAAATTTTACACACAGGCATATTTCATTTTATTTAAACTAAAAACAGTCTTATTTTATATACCAATCCCAGTTCTCTCTCCCTCCCATCCTCCCATGCTCCCCACCAACCCCCTATCCCATCCCAGTCCACTCCCCAGGAAGGGTGAGGCCTCCCATGGGGGAATCACCAAAGTCTGTCACATCATTTGGGGGAGGGTCTAGGCTTTTAGGTTGAGAGAGTATCCCTCCATAGGGAATGGGCTCCCAAAGCCCATTCTTGCACTAGGGATAAATACTGGTTCCACTGCCAGAGGCCCCATAGACTGCTCAGGCCTCCCAACTGACACCTGCGTTCAAGGGGCCTAGTCTGGTCACACAGGCATATTTCAAAAGCAATTTATCTCACATGTTTTTAAGTAATTTTCTGTTTTATCAACAAATATTTGTCCTGCAAAATTTATTTATATATTGTCCAACATGCTTTATGAAGCTTGCTTTCATATATACCACCAAAAAAAAACACACTCCAATTTTAAAGAGAAAAGTCTGACTCAGTAATTTGTAATGAAGTGGAGCTTAAATTTGGCAAGAAACATTTTCATAGTCTCCATTACATTTTTAGCATTCTTTTTACTCTGTGCCCCCAAATATAACCACTCATGGAGGTAAACAATATATATCACCATTATCTGGGCAGTAAATTCAAAGCTATTATTGGGAAACTATTGTCTCAAGAATCTTAAAAATTGTGGGTAGAAAGAATCAGGGACAAATGAAAACTGTTGAGTTAAAACTAAACAGATATCTTTACTGTAAAACTTCTCTGTACTTTTATATAGAGATAATGGATATTCAAAATAAATATGAGAGTATCACGGGGAGGGGGAGGGAGGTAGGAGAAAGAGGAGGGGAGAAGTGGGGGGGGGACAACATGAGGGATCAGGAAGATTGTCTCCAGGGATGAATAGAGGAGAGCAAGAAAAGAGATACCTTAATTAAGGGAACCATTATTGGCTTAAAGAGAAATCTGGCACTAGGGAAATGTCCAGAGATCCACAAGGATGACACCAACTAAGAATCTAAGCAATAGGGGAGAGGCTACCTTAAATGTCCTTTTCCTATAATGAGATTGACTACCTTATATACCATCCTAGAGCCTTCACCCAGTAGCTGATGGAAGCAGAAGTAGACACCCACAACTAAGCACTGAGCCCAACTCCTGGAATCCAGTAGTAGAGAGGGAGGAATGATAACCAAAGGAGTCAAGACCATGCTGGGGAAACCCACAGAAACAACTGACCTGAGCAAGTGGGAGCTCATGGACCCCAGTGTCACACCTGGGGAACCATCATAGGACCAAACCAAGCCCCCTGAATGTGGGTGGTAGTTAGGAGGCCTGGGCAGTCTATAAGGCCTATGGCAGTGGAACCAGTATTTATCCCTAGTGCTCAAATGGATTTTGGGAGCCCATTCTCCCAGGGAGGGATACTCTCTCAGTCTAGGAACATGGGGGAGAGCCTAGGCCCTGCCCCAAATGATGTGACAGATTTTGATGATCCCCCATGGAAGGTCTCACCCTCCCTGGGGAGTGAATGGGGGGTTGACATGGGGTCCATGGGAGGATGGGAGGGAGAGGGAACTGAGATTGATATGTAAAATAAGATTGTTTCTAAATTAAATAGAAATTTATTTAAAAGTTAAAAATAAATAAATAGGGGAATAGTATTTCTTAAACT